ATGACACAATTTAAAAAAATAGAATGTGCAAACTTTTATCAATCAGAATGTGTGTTGGGAATCAGTGTCAGCTGCTACCACACCAAATAACTCAATATTTATCAGACTGGCTGAGTTTGAGCTATTTTTGTGTTTCTAAAGGTCATTTGGATGTGGCCGCCATCTTGAACGAGGTTGATGCCAAAAGCTATCAGTTGTAGACGTACATCCATTGATAATTTTCTAAAAGTTTCATTATTTTGTTCAGTGGTTCATGAGATATTTAGCTAACACACAGACACAAATTCAGATATTTTTGCCTGCCCTCTGCTTTTTGGCTGTGAGTGATAAAAAGTGATTAATCGAGAAATAAAGATTTTGTTCTAAAAATTGTTGAGCAGCTTCTACTTTTAGACAGACAAAATACATTTTGGATTTGCAATTGTGATTTTACGTTTAAGTAAATAACAATTAAATGTCAGATTTCACCTTAAATAATGTAAGCTCAAATGATTAAAAATGTTTATTAAACTCCAACTCTTTCACTTTTCATCATTAGTTTTTAAATGTTGGCTTTCTTTTCCTAAACTAGTTCATCTTGTTAACACGGAATATGTGATTTAAAATACAAATTAAAATGTTTTGAACTAATTTAATAAAAGAAATGCAACAAAATGCTGTAATCTTTTTCAGGCTCCTCAACAAGGCAGATGATTTCAAAACTATTGTTCTATATCATCAGTGAAGAAGTTCGTCTTTTATTATTACTGATTAAACAGCGTGAGGCTTTAATTTTAAATCACTGACTCTATTCATTGTTGATTTTAGAGACATTTTTATCTTTGAAACAATTAAATTTACTGCAAATGTTTGGACCGTGGTGAGATTATTTGTATGTTTCAAATGTCATTAATAACAAAATGTTCCGTTAGCAACACTACACGTGCATTCTTAGCAAAACTGGAACAAGCTGCATGATATTTTTCTGCTCGTAACATGTTACTAATCTGCAGGTCTGTTATGTAACATGAAGGCTCCAGATGTTTAGAGGAACGTCACTGTTTTATCCATTTAACATAAAACAGTGCAGAGGTCTGAACTCCAGTCATTTATGAAGCTGGAAGAGTGCATGCATCAATGGTCTGCAACCTGTGGCTCCCGGGCCACATGTGGCCCCTCGGTCCTGCTGCAGCGACTCCTTGTCACCTTGACTAAAAGTGACATGAAGCTGAGCCATTTTATATTTACACTGACAACAAGAAAGGCTAGTTTCAGCTGTTTACTGTCAAAATATGTACAGTTTGTATATAAAATATCTGCTGCAGAATAACACTAATAACACAAGTAGACTGGTCTTCCTGTGTGAACAGAGATTACCCATCAACAGCAGACAGTTTCCATGGATTCAGGACCAGAGTCAGCTGAATGAGTCGGGTTTCCACCATTGTTTAAGATTCAGTTCAGTTTTACTGTTCAGCAAATTGTTACTTAGTTATGCAGAACAAAAAATATAAACAACTCTTTTGTTTTTGCTCCATTTTTCATTAACTGAACTCAGAGATCTAAGACTTTCTCTGTGTACCAGTACATAATCTGCTATTTGCTCTCAAATGTTGTTCACAAATTTGTGTAAACCTGCGTTAGTGAACACGTCTCCTTTACTGAGATCCACCTCACAGGTGTGGCATCCAAGATGATGATTACACAGCATGCTTATCACACAGGTGAGCCTTAGGATGACCACAATAAAAGGCCACTCTAAAATGTGCAGTTTTGTCAGCACAAAGCCACAGATGTTGAAAGTTTTGAGAGAGCGTGCAGTTGGCATGCTGACCGGAGGAATGTCCACCAGAGCTGTTGCCCATGAATTGAATGTTCATTTCTCGACTATAAGTCGTCTCCAAAAGTGTTTCAGAGAATTCGGCAGTACAACCAGCCTCACAACCACAGACCGCACGTGATCACACCAGCTCAGGACCTCCACATCCAGCATCTTCACCTCCAAGAGCATCCAAGACCAACCATGGACAACTGCTGCAACAATCAGTTTGCATAACCAAAGAATTTCTGCACAAACTGCTTTCTGCTGGGCGGCTGTGGCTGAGTGGTTAGAGCAGTCGTCCTCCAATGGAAGAGTTGGGGGTTCGAATCCAACAGCAGTCACATGTCGAAGTGTCCCTGGGCAAGACACTGAACCCCTGACTGCCTCCGATGTGTGTCCCATCAGTGTATGAATAATCTCTGATTAGTCTCTTTAGAATGATTTGTTCAATTAGCTTTGTAGAGATCTAGTAGAGTGCTGCATGAATGGGTAAATGAGGCACAGATTGTTGTAAAGAGCTTTGAGTATCTTGATCAGATAAAAATAGGTGCTATATAAATAGTCCATTTACCATTAAACTGTTAGAAACCGTCTCAGGGAAGCTCATCTGCTGCTCACCCTCATCAGGGTCTCCACCTGACTGCAGTTCATCATCGTCAGACTTGGGTGGGCAAATGCTCACACTGGATGGAGAGATGTTCTCCTCATGGATGAATCCCAGTTTTCACTGTGGAGTGGTAGCGCAGAGGTTAGAGAAGGTGGGCCTGTGAACGGAAGATCACAGGTTCAACTCCCCGTACCGACAACATCAAAATGTGGGTGGTATAGGTGAAGCACCCACACCTGTCTCCATCCTCATTTGCCCCACTCTGGGCCCTTGAGCAAGGCCCTTAATCCCCACTATCTCACAGAGATGAGCTGCTAAGGCACCTTAGATTGCAGCTCTCTGCTCTACACAGAGGGCTGTGGCAGCTTGGTGGTCTGTGGTTGTGCCAGGAAGGACATCCGAAGTCAAAATAATAAACAAGTCTTTGTTAGTTAGTTCGTCGTGGCGACCCCTGAAGAAGGGAGGAGCCAAAAAATAATAATGCACATAGCAGACAGTAGAGTTGTGTGGGTGAGCGGTTTGCTGATGTCGGTGTTGTGAATTGAGTGGCCCATGGTGGCGGTGGAGTTATAGTATGGGCAGACATACATGGACAACAAAAACACACGTGCATTTTATTGATGGCATTTTGAATGCAGAGGTACTGTGAGGAGATCCTGAGGCCCGTTGTTGTGCCGTTCATCCACAACCATCACCTCATGTTGCAGCATGATGATGCACGACCCCATGTTGCAAAGATCTGTACACAATCCCTGAAAGCTGAAAACATCAGCATACTCACCGGACGCATCAACCATTGCACGTTTGGGCTGCTCTGGGTCGGCGTATACAACAGCATGTTCCAGTTCCTGACAATATCCAGCAACTTCGCAGCCATAGAAGAGGAGTGGAGCAAGATTTCATCAACCACTCAAGAACCTGATCAGCTCATGCAACAATGAGTTGCACTGCAAGAGGCACATACAATCAGAGCTCTGCACAACTCACTCGTTCAGTCTTTTAATTTTCGCCTGCAGTGTAGTACTTTAAGTGGGCGATCTATTTTACTACAGTAAATCACAAAATGGGAAAGAAACTTTTCTGACAAGTTTTGTTTCCTGTAAAGAAAAATCTAATTTTATTTTTCTCCTTCAGTTCTAAAAATTGAAATGGAGAAATAAACTTTCACAATGAAACAATTATAGTAGCTATTATATAGAATATACTCACGATCATTATTTTTACTTTAGGGGCCAAGTAGATTTTGTGGCTCTATGCAGATTTTAATAACGTTTGCAAATGATTTTTTAAAACATATTTCAGTAGGTAACTCAAAACCAAAATGGTGAAGGTTCAAACTCTTGGTTTAATGTTGTAGGTGACCCAAAAGTTGGACAATGTATAGACTATGTAGCCAATAGCTATATGGCTTCCTTCCTTCAATAACTTTTAATAATTTTCTTCTGTATGTACGTGAATGTTTCAGTACAGTACCATGAGACGACTTGGAGCTAAATAAACTGAAATTGAAACTAAATTGAACTAGATTATACAATAAGTTTGGGTTTTTTTGTTTTGAGAAATGTAGATTTCCATCTCAGAAATGGCAACAAGAAACAAAATAAGAAGTTAAATTGTTCCTCCATCATTTATTTACCCCACAAGGAAAAAAAAAATACTAACTCCAATTTCCATATTTTTCCAAGACAGCACGGGAACCTTTTGTTTGTGGTGATGTTGCCCACCAGCGTGCAACTTAAAGCAACTCTTGATCCGTCCAGAACCACCAGGCTCCATGTTAATCCACTCAAACTGATAAAAACGCTGCTGTGTCAGAGTTTTATTAAAACAAACATAAAGTAATAAAGTGGCGTGACAAAATGAATAAAAGCTAATTTAATGGGTTCAATTTCATGTACATGTAGTTTCCTCACATTCATTCACTCATTGATAAAAACACAGTTTCACACAGTAAATAGAGCTGGAACTAAACAGAGACTCAAGTCCAGTTAAAACTGGTCTACTGCAGCTGAACTGACTGGGACATTAGTGATTTCACTTAACATTTGAAAGGATAAGACACAACAAAGTAAAGTTTGTTCGATCATAGCAGTAACGCTGTGCAAAACGAGGGCGTCGATGTCACTGAATAAAGTGCAAATATATTTATCAAATGTTTTTGATTTCTCAAACAGGAATGTAGAGGCATCAAAAAGACTCAACACAAAAGCTTGTCTCCCTCTTGTGGAAAAACAATGGAAAGCACATTATGAGCATCTTTTCTGCAAAGCATGCTAAACATTTCTAAAATCCTCCACAAAAAGTATTAGAAACATTAAAATCTCACCCAAACAAAGCTTTAAATTGGACTGAATATCTCTTAAATGATAAACTGGCACAGAGATAAACACCGCAACCGATACCAAGACTTCATGTTCATGTTTTTAAAAGGACACGGTGCTTTTAAATCCAATGCATCACAAATACAGAAGATCTTGTAAAAAGTGAAAATATGGATGAGTACGGGTGTGGAGCGGCTGCAGCAGCAGCTGTGTAAAGAACCGGGTGGTAGATTCTAAAACATGCTGAGAAAAGTGAGGGATGTCTCAGGTAATCAGGACCCTCTGGACATTAGAAGCAATCACAGGAAACAAACTCATTTAAAGAATTCATTGGCAGCCAACTTCAACTGAGCATACAATCGTAAAGAAAACATTTCACATCCTTACACGTACTGTTGTACTTTTACCACTGGGCCTGTTGTAGAAAAGCTCCACAAACAACATCGTTAGCGTTTTAAAATCAAAACTAATGAAATTTTAGCGGCACTAACAACCAGAATTTGGTTCTGGTGACAGATCTGACAGCTGCTTCTAGATTCTTTGGAGATTTGATGATGATTTTGTTGTTTTTAAGATGCACTCATTTGCTGTTTATTCAAACAAGCACTTCCTGTAAATGCAATCTTTCTACCTACTCTTTATGGATTTAGGTAGAACATTTTTGTTTCACAAGAATGTTGGCTTTGCTGGTTGTAATCATGAGGTTACAACCGCACTGTGGTAGTGGTTTTCTTTGAACAAAGCGCTCCTACAATACAACAATCCAAACAAAGTCTGCTGGAAAAACTCCCTGCATTTCCAGTGCATGGAGGACAGTCTTTGTAACAAGTGGGAGAACAGGTTACAAGAAAAGAAACTTGTTCAACAGGTGCAACTTCACGTGATCAAAGTCACAACTTTCAATCTCACCATGTCCGTTTTCCATCTTCTTGGTTACAAATGATCAGCTCCATTAACGTCTATAAAATCCTACTGACTAGAAGTCACTAAGGATGCTGATGTCGGCAAACTCCTGTCGGTATCTGTACGAGTACAACGTCAGGAGAAAAGACCATTTGAAGGTCAGGAAGCTCCACACGCAGGACAGGTACAGGCTCTGAGGGTCAGTGACAGCTGTGGGACAAGACAGACACAAGGGTTAAAACCCACGGGACAGTCATCCCGAACAGTTAGCTACGTACTCTCATTCTACAAACTGAACAGGAAAGACTGGATTACATTGCTTCATTGTGATGGCCAGACTTAGAAAGGTAATGAAGGCAGCGACAGCCAGAACTGAAAAGAGCACGCCAACACAGATGAAGAACTTCAGGCCCTTGAGCCATGTGCGCCAGTAGTCCTGTAGGTACATGATGTGTGTGATGAGCGTCCAGAGCGCCAACACTCCTGTCAGAAGAAAATCAATCAATCAATCAATAAATATTGCATCATAAGGCAATCAACTGGTTTAAAAATTAGTGCAACATGCAAAATGATGACAAAAAGTTTATCACAAACTGCTGTTTTTATTATTCATCATCTTTTTTGATCACTTTAAATGAGTCTAGAAGAAACTAGAACTCTCTGGAACATGTTACAGGTCCTCTGGACAGATTCTTTGTAGAAAAGTTTGGTCTTCTATCAAGAAGTCTTCAGGACTGACGTTCTGAAGGACTAAACAATTATTTTGGATAAAAGACAAAAAGTTTCAGCAAAGAAGAATCTGTCCAGAGGACCTGACTCAACCTTGTTAGACTTATCTACCTGGATCATTGGGCATGCATCAGGATCATATATTCTAATATTGTTATATTTTACACATGTTGAGCCACAGTAAATCTTTACTATTACTGTTTTGTAATTCAACAAGATCCTACTGAGATGTTAAATTTTATAGCAGAGCAATGGTTACTAAAGTCACTGAAAAATATTTAAATGTTTTGCATCTTAAAAAGCAAAGATCATTTAAATAAAATGTATATTACATCATAATAGGTTTAATAAAGTATGTGACAGCCTGTACAGGATATTTAACATTCATTTTAAAATACCTTCTGTTTAACATGGAGTTCAGTGATTAAAAATGTGTACTGGCCTGAGTCATTATTCACAAAGAATAAGGCACACGCTATAAAAATATATAAGTATTTATTATTCGCAATAAATGTGGTGCGTTCACGTACCTGACAGGCCTCCCATGGCCGCCGTCCAGGGCTGTTTGAAGGCGATGTTCCAGACCAAGAACGCTGAAAATCCAACCAGGGTACCAAAGCTAGCATAGCCTATGCTAATGTACACCTTGTTGATCCCCATAGTGAAAAAGGCCCAAAGATTTATGTCGTCGTCAGAAAGAAAAAAGTAATTTTGTTTCAAAAGATTGACGAGTAAACCCACGGCAGCAGCTTAGCGCCTCATTATGTAATATCAAGCGAGCAGGAAACCGTCGCAGGAAGATCAAATTTTCCTGAGCGAACAGCCAACGATGCCAATCACTGAAGACTAAAATTAGCTCAGTTTGTTTACGTCCCTTCAAACAAAATCATTAATTATTGGTAAACAAGCGCCATCAAAAAATCGTAAGTGCTATAATTACCATCCGCCGCAAGACACAAACAATCACCGTACGAGCTACAACCCCTCTGAATATCTTTCTATGGTTTTTACTAATCACTAAGATTAATGATAACTAGCGCTGCAATGTTTTAAAGAAAGATTTCGGCATTCGCAGCCATTTGCCGATTCTTTTTTTTTTTCTCTCTTCTTCTTCCGCTTTCTTCTTCTTCTTCGGGTGATCTTTCTGGCGGTTCTTACATGACGTCATGGTGCATTACCGCCACAGTCTGGTCAGGAATGTGAACTACACCAGCCCGCTATGGTCAAAGACTGGAAAAAATGTACCTACACACATTCTCATGTGATACTGCCGGATGAAACGCTCAGAATATGGGTTTTGAACGACTCCCAGCTACTACCAAATCAAATTTTGTGTCTGATTGTATGATTCATTTTGAGGTGGGGAGCCGTGGGGGTCTTTCGTCACTTTGCACTGTACCTTGAATGTCAGGCACACATGTTCAATTCTGCCACACATTAATGTAAATGGGTACTTTCACAGTCACCAGATTTGGAAAAGTTTGCAACAAAAGTCTTTCTTTTGAAAATGAAAAAAATATAAATATATAAAACAAACTGCAGTCATGAATAAGGTGTTCTTTTTCACAGCGGTGTGGATATAAATTTCTCTGTTTATGTCGTTTAACCATTTGTGGAGAAGTTATGGAGCCGATTTTTTCACTTTTTTTTTTACACCAAATACTATTGTCTTAAAAAGAAAAAAGAAAACGAAAAGAACAGAAAAAGGCAGAAGTTTATTGAAGGAAAAATGGTTCCGTGTTCAATGGACGTCTGGAGGGAAGATGTGACGGCTGTTTCTGAGTGACGTGCATCCAACCTTTATTTAGACATGTATTCAGAAATCAGAGCAGCTGCTGCCACAGGTCCTGAATGATTATTTATTTCTTCTGTTATTTCAGAGATGAGAAGGTAAGTTCTTCTTCTCCTCCTATGGCTACATTTTCTCCAAAGTGATCTCTGTAAGGGGAAACAAAGATCTATACTCCTCTCCCCTGCCCAGAGCGTTTACTCGGAAGGAACACACGTTTGTCAGAATTAAACAACATCTTTATTCTTACAGACTTCAAAATATGTGAACAAGAGAGAATTGTTTTATATTACCTGAATTCAGAGGCCTTCGGTACAATTCTGACGTGTCTCAAGGTTCTTCCAACATTTATAGACTGTTTTCTCCACCCAGTGACATTTCCTGTTTTTTATTCTTGTCCAATAAACACCTTGCAGACTCTCTGAAGTCCCTGTCTAATCTATCAGACGCACACTAGCTGATTATCCCCTCAGCAACCTGTTACATTATCAAGTCTTACAAAAGTCATTCTGACCTATTAAGCCACTCATCATTACTTATTTTATCATCCAAGGTTATTTTAATCCCAACACATCACAGCACAGTTGAAAACTCCAGCTGCTTTTGGACGAACCTAGGAGAACCTCAACATCTTCATTTCTGCCACTTCCAGTTCTTTCTCCTGTCTTTTTGTCCATGTCTCTGTCTCAAACTATACAACATAGCTGCTCTCACCACTGTCTTGTAAATTTTCCTTCGTCCATCCAGATGACCACTGAGCACTACTGTTTGCTAATACTTAACATGATAAAAACGTCTAAAAAAAAGTTAAATCTGGTCCTCTGGACATAAAAAAAAAAAATTGTAGAAACGTTTCGTCTCTCATCTGAAAGACTTCCTCAGTCTGAGGAGCTGTGTTCAGCTCAGTCTCTTAAATAGCACCTTCTCAGAGTGGATCAACCAGTTTTGCTGATGACAACCAAAACCAGCTGATCACATGCTCAAGAAGGACCATCAGCCTAACAATGGATCATTAGCACACTGATGGCTGTTTACTATTCACAGAGGGCTGAGTGATACTAGCAATCACAGCATTGTAAGAGGGGGACAGTTGAACCCGGAGGCCTCCACCCCTGTTTAATGATGGACGATTTCTTTTCACAAAGATGGCCTCCTTTACTCCTCTCTCAAACCATCGTTCCTCTCTGTCCAGGATGTGAACATTTTCATCCTTGAAAGAGTGACCGCTGGCCTGGAGATGAGTGTAGACCGCAGAATCCTGGCCTGATGATGTTGATCTTCTGTGCTGGGCCATCCTTTTGGCCAGTGGCTGTTTAGTTTCCCCGATGTAAGACTGATCACAGCCCTCCTGACACTGAACAGCATACACAACATTACTCTGTTTGTGCCGGGGGACTGGATCTTTGGGATGAACCAGTCTTTGCCGTAATGTATTTTGGGGTTTAAAAGCCACTGGGATGTTGTGTTTAGAAAATAAACGTCTCAGTTTCTCTGATACTCCCTCAACATATGGAATGACCACTGGTCTGGGTCTGGGTTCCTCCTTTTCACCTGATGGCTGACTGGAGTCCTGTTTGGGTGGTCGCTACAAAATTAAGTTGTACATGTACAACTAATAATCATTTACTAAAAGTTTCATTTAAATCCACCTAGCTGTACAAGAGATCGTTTTCTAACTGACCAAAAAAGCTGATTCCAAATAGTAAAATTTTACACAAAGATATTTGCACATCCTGTTAGCTCTCGCCTCTCGGAATGTTTTGGGGATCTATACAGTCACTACCACACTAACTTTTATGTCAAAATTTAGATTTGTAAAAACTGACTGACTTTGGTGTATTTTTTTTAGATTTTCATGATCTGTGAGATTCATTTTCAATTGGATTGACAATGCAATTTAAGGCTACTGCAAGTTTTAATAAAATACATGCAGTGACTTGATATTTCAGATATTCACCCAGCACACACACTTTCTGTCCCGCTCCCCTCAGGAAGGAGGTTGAGGAGCATTAAGTGTAGAACCACTAGACTGAGGAACAGCTTCTACCCTGAGGCTGTTAGACTCATGAATCTCTAACCAGAATAATCACTGTGAAAAATCACATAATGTTGCTGCTGATTTGTTTCATGTTGCTGCTGATCTGTTTCATGTTGCTGCTGATCTGCTTCATGTTGCTGTTGTTCATTCGTACTCATCTGCTCACACGGACTCATGTTCGTGCTGCTGTTCGGTGTATTGTTTTTGTACTATTAGTGCTTAGTGTATTTTTATTAGCGTTCTTCTTAGTTCATATCTTAGCTCTTATTACTGTTTTTTTTTACATTTTAATACTTTTGTCGGATGTAACTGGGACCGTGTACACAATTTCATACAAATAAAGAACTCTGAATCCTTGAAAGGAGGTACTTTATAACAGAGAGAAAGAACTGACACTACTTTTCCCTTTTAGCAGTATGCGATAAAAACAAAAACTGTGTTCTTTCATCAGGCCAGTTTTTGTGATAAAGTGATTTTTTTAAATAAAAATCAAATATTAAGATATGAAGATAAATGTAAAGACACCATGAGTCGTTTTGTAAATTGTCAGCAAAATTACAGGACAATTCATTTTCTTCAAAGTTTTTATGAAACTCTTGTTTTTCTGCACTTATGTTCTTCTTGACAACATCATGTTCCTTTTAAAAAGTATTCTTTGTGTCTTCATCCTCTCACACTAAATAAATGTTATGAGCTTTGAAGCCCAAATGATCTGTTGTAGAAATGCTCATTAATACTGAAAAAATGTTTTATATATAAATTGTTTTATTAATTAGGGTCATGTTCAAGCTGCGCATTTATTATGACATAGATTATTCATTTTGAACTGTTTCATTTTTAGTGAAATTATTTTTCTTTCTTTCCTTCTTGGCATGCAAAGACCAAACATTATGTTTGTGATCACACACACGTTTAAATATTACAAACAGCCAACCAGAGAACATCAGAAAATGATTTTAAATTAAAGAGGACATGCATGACTCTGAGAAACATTCAGTCTGTGTGGCAAGAATTCATAAAGCTGAAAGCTGGGTTGAAAAAGTGAAACTCAGCGCTTTCCTGTGGTTGTTTGCAGCTTTGCAGCAGGCAGTGGTTCACCACTGAGATTACCTGTAGCTGTGAGGAACGATAAAGTGTGCCCCCCGCTCTACGGCTGCTGATAAATTCACACACTCACATGTAAACTGTGGCTCTGCACTCTGCCCATGCCCTGAGGCGCTCGCTTTATGACCAATCAGAAAGATACAGGAAGCCATGTCCACTGACACCCCCCCAGCTCTCATAGACAACCCAAACTGAAAACTCATCTTCAGACAAATGCAGGAAAAATAATCCTAACAAGAGCTGAAGACTCTGAGCTGGTGGGTCTGGAGGGAGCAGGTCAGGGTGAGTCATCATCGATCAGAACAGTCTGGTGTCCTTGTCCTGTCAGAATTATTTTATATGTTTGGATGTACAATATATTTTACTTGTATTGCATCACATCATCTTGTAATAACTGTGAGGAGCAGAGAAAACTGTTTGACGTTTCCATGGAAACTTTCTTCCATGTTGAAATCCTGCAACAAACTCCCTCTGAGAAATGTTGTGACGTTTGTTGAAGCTGTTCACTGTTTGTACCTGACAATATCTGTTAAATGTTTACAAGAGATGGTGCAACAGCAGCTAAATATTACAGAAGTGGAGCTGGAGGAGTTTGTGGCTCAGTCCGTTTGAATATTTTTGCTCGTGTCAGCTCCTCTTTCAGCCTCGTCTGAGCAGGAGGTCAGAAAGATCAAATCTGGGTTTCCCTGTCGCTGCTGAGTGGTCAGGAGAAAGGAAGGAAAAGGTGTGTGTGTGCGTGTGCATGTGCGCGTGTGCGTGTGTGTGTGTGTGTGTGTGTGCGTGCGTGTGCGTGTGTGTGTCAGACAGTTGGCAGAGAACATTCCGTGGGCGATGGGTGTAGATGTGTTGCAGGAAATCCCACTCCCATTCCCAGAGGTCCTGAATAGAAACACACCAAAAATAAACACAGAAAGGAGAGAAATAGACACAAAGTTTACAACAAACTCTCTGAATGAGAGAAATTAGATGTTCTGTAAAGATTGAACACAGTTTAATAAGACTGAGTGAATAACTTGCTGAAACTTGTTAAAGAGGCTGAAAATGTATCAACATCAGTCCTAAAAACCTGAACGTAGCTAGAAGCTCAGTTTAACCAAACTGAACCTCAAGGCCTAAACCAGTGGTCCAGGTCCCTGCTGGTCCTTCAGGACCACTGTCCTGCATGCTGTAGAAGTTTCTCTGCATCAACACACCTGATCTGAATCACTGGGT